GTGTCCCTCCCATTTAGCAGCTCCGAGGCCTTCTCCACATCCCCTGAACTCCACATTTGGGGTCCCTGGTCCTCATTTTTTTGTCCACTGTAATTTATCTACTCTTACAGACCTCAAGACCACCCTCTCACTGACAGTTCTGAGTGTCCATGTGGCCCGGATGCCCTGGGGTGCTCTCAGTCCTGCTTAGCCCAAGCAGCGTTCCTTCTCCCCCAAGGCAGCCTCCAGGTTCTCCTTTCCCTTACTTTCTGTCCATACCAATAGTAATTTCCACTAGACTTCCAGGCTCAGAGCCAGGATCAGACAGACAAAGTGAATAGAGGGTCAGCAGGAGGTGGACCTGCTCCCAGCCTGGCCAGCCCTCATCTCTCCATAAGCTGTTAGCCCAGATGTAGGGTGGAGCCTTCAGACTTCTCCAATGGTCAGCTGAGCTAGTCCTGCCCTTCTCCTTTTATCATGACTTCTGCTGAGCAGAGTTTGGACATCTTATATAAGGCTTGCGACGACGACGACGACGACGACGACGACGACGACGACGACGACGACGACGACGGACCCCCCCCCCCACCAAGAGCCGATACACCTTGTACCTTAATTTCTCTTCCTCTACTGACCGAGGCCTAATTCACCTCCACCATCTACCTAGAGCTTATCATATCTAAACTGCAATCAAAGACTCACAGTGTGGAACAACCCCTAACCAAGGGGGCAGATGTCATGACCTCCTATCCTTATTCTGAAAGGTTCCTGCTCTTGGAATTCATCATGGAAGATTCAAGGGCTCCAGGAGAGGTCAGACCATGATAAGGGGACCAGGGAACTCAGGGGTAGACAGCCTTTATGCTAGCTAGAATTATGCCCCAGATCAAGGGAGGGGCGAGACTCTGCCCAACAGTCCACTGGGAACTAGGAACTGCTACCCCTCCCTGTGAGTCAGCACCCAGATCTTAAAGGCTCTGCACAGGGAAGCAGAAGACCACAGGTTTCTGAAGGGGTGGCCAGTGGCTGAGCTGGCATTTCCCTTTGCACAAGGCCAGTGCTGCTTGTCCCTTCCTAGACACCTGCTGTCCTTTCCACCAAAGCCTCGTCTCTTATGTCCTCAGTTCCTAGCCAGTTCGCCCATCCTAGTGGCCCTATTCAATTCTCTGGTCCTTAGGGACAGAGACCATTTGTACAGGTCCTGCCATACTGTGATAAACACTTCCCCTAATAATGAATCTTACCTATACCTCTGTACCTCTGCCCTCATCTGTGGAGAACAGGTGACAGGGGTCATTCCCAGGGTTCTCCAGGCTGAGAGTATGACTCCCTAGTGAGGGATCTCGTAGGGAACATAACCAAATCTCTGCGCCCATTGTCACTAATTCAAGGTCCAAGAAGAAGGTGACTTCCATCTCCTCCATTTCTCAGCTCACCTCCTGCCCTCTGGCAGATGGAGAAGTCGCCCCAATAAGTTTGATGCTGCCATTTCCTGAACCTAAGGGAAGTGACTTGCTCAAGGCCACACAGGTCTGTGCCCTACACTACTTCCTGTGCCAGGTCCCTGTGCTATTGTGGCCTCAAGAAGGCCTAGAGTCCTAAGGCAGACAGCTCTCTCTCCCTCCTTCCCTCCCTCCACTCCCCCCCCTCTCTGTGTGTGTGTGCGTGTGTGTATGTGTGTGTGCGTGTGTGTATGTGTGTGTGCGTGTGTGTGTGTGTGTGTGTGTGAGTGTGTGTGTGAGTGTGTGTGAGTGTGTGTGTGTATGTGTGTGTGTGTGTTGGGGGTAGGTGCCATGACAAGGTTTTCCTATGGCCACAAATCAAAGGAAGGACTCCCAAGTTGTGGATGGCGAGGACCAGGGGTCCTTGGTAGCTTTGGTGCTGCTTTCATCCCAAGGGCATTGTCCTAGGAGGCTGCCCAGTTACCAAGTTAGGCTGCTCACTCGGTTATCAGCAAGCATCCACCAAGTCAGCCTCTGTTCTGGCATCCCAGGGTTCTGGCCCAACTTTAGCCTTTTGGCCCTCCTGCTCTTCCTTATTCATTCCACCCTGGAACCCATACACCTGTTACTCATGACATCTGCACTGGGGGTGCTCTGGTACTGATGCCAGGTTGTCTAAGAGGACAGTTGACCTCTGTCTATAACTGGACAGAGGCTTGGGTTGTGCATAAGGGCGTGGGCAGGGTGGGGTTGCAGCTGCACCACTCACTATGGTATAAAACAGTATCCCTTAGCCTTAGTATCTCCTCTACATTTGTGGTAAGGATCACTGCAGAGTGGCCACTGGAGCTCAGCACAGGCCCAGAAGAAGTGGTCTATATTGGGATGCATGCTGGCTCCTCAAAAGACAGTCCTGGACACCTGTGCCTCAAATGTGGCCTTACTTGGAAACAAGATGACTGAAGATACAATTGGTTAAGATGGGTTACACTGTCCTGAGTACATCTGATCCAACAAGACTGTCATCCTAAGCTGAGTGGTATGTGAAGAGAGGCTTACTGTAGAAAGCCACGTGACCACTGCTGCACCTGCAGTCAAGGATGCCAAGGAGGCTGCCACCAGTAGCAGCTAAAGGACACAAGGAGGATCCTCCCTTTGAGCCTCTAGTGTGGGTAGGCTGCTACCAGCACCCTGGTTTCCCCAGATTGGTGAGAGATAAGTTTAGCATCTTTTCACATGTCAATTGGTCTGCCTCTCACCCTCCTGCACTGTCCTCCAAGGAAGTGGAGTGAATGTCATATCCTTAGCCATCTAGGGAGGCTAAGAACAGGGTTTGGTGGGTAGGGGGAGTGGTATATGGAGTGCACGAGAGCTCAGGGGTGGGCCTTCTTCAGTCTGCAGGTGTCAAGAAGGAAATGCTGAAGCACTGAGATGCGGCCATCTGGGAGGCTGCAGGGTGTGATAATCTGAGCCAGAACCCTCAGGTGGTATTGGGAGGAATCTTGGGATGCAAGGAGTGTCTGAGACACTACCACAGCTTCTAGACTTGGATGGCACCCCTACTTCTGTTCTTAGGTGCTGGGGCATGTGGCTTAGCTGCAAGAATGACTGTAGTCACCATGACACCTTGATTACCCAACCACAGTTCCAAGCACATTTCCCTATGATATGGTGATTCTGCTCTGGCTACCATCCTAAATGCCAAGGATTGGAGCTTCACACAGACACTCCTTTCTCTCATTTCTGGAGATGAATGGCTGAGGTCAGGAAGCCAGCAAGGCTGGTTTCTTCTGGCCTCTCTCTTCAGCCTGAAAACAGCTCCTTCTTCCTATGTCCTCACTTGGCTTTTCAGTGTGCTCCTAGTGTCTCTTTCTCTTCTTATAAGGGATGCCTGTCCTGTGGAACAGAGTCCCACCCTGACAATTATCAATAATTATCTCCTTAAAGCCTTAACTTCCAAATGCAGCTGCTTTGGGGAATAGAATTTAAAATATGGATTCTGGGGAACCCACTTCCATTCATAACACAAGGCGTTTACAGACCCTCACTTTTCAGAAAAGGGAACCAAGGCTTGGGGGACTCAGAGGCCATGTGTTCTGGGTCCCTTGTGGGTAGTCTAGCCCTACTTTGAGAACTCAGCTTAGGCTGGGTCCTCTCAGCCTTCTCTGGCCATTTTCATATACACGGGGGCCCCAGTTCCCCCATCACCTTAGGAAACTCCCAGGAATATGACTGAGTAAGGCAGAAACAAGGGTGTGAGCATATTTCTGGCTTGGGTCTGCCTCTTGGACTCCACAGCTAAGGCAGGAGCTCTGAATTAGGTAGCAAAGAGTTGACAGCTGGTTCTTCCTCACATTCTAATAGAACGAAAGGCCCTTAGGGGTCCAAGAGATTCAGATATGGCTGAGGAGATAGCAGCGGAAGGACAAAGGCAAGCTGTCTGGGGGAGGGTTCAGATCAAGCACCAAGCATGCTATCAGGAAGTGGGAACAGCGAGTACAAGGGAAAGACTGATGGGGTTAGGAAGACTACAGAATGTAAGGCAGGAAAGTAGGAATGACGCTAGACCACTGGATGCTGCCCTCCTGGAGCACGGGATTCCCAGACACTCCCCATCCCTTGGGAACTGTGCTGGCTGAGGTGTGTGAGTCAGTGCTGGCTTCTGACCCAGGGCTGGGCCACACAGTTTACCTATTTATTTATTTATTTATTTATTTATTTTGTGTGATGGTGCGAATGCACACCACAACATATGGAAGTCAGAGAAAAACTCAAGGGAATTGGTTTTCTTCTTCCACTATGTAGGTCCCAGAGAGCAACTCTGGTCATCAGGCTCGCCCATCCACTGAGCCATCTCCTTGGCCCTCAGATAACCCGAGGATTTAAATGACTAGCTAAGACAGAAACAGAGGCACGCCTGCAACAGACGCAAGCCTGATGTTGGGCTCATGCAGGCCCTTCCCAGTAACCTGCTTCACTCCATTCAACTCTACTTAGTCCATGAAAGCCTGGGTCCTGCATAAACGCTCACCTTTTGATGCCTGAGGTATCAGGGCAAACCCTGGAGAGCACTCAATGTGGCCCCTCACCCAGAGCTCCGAAGTACGACCGATCCCTTCACTTAGCGCCCCCCCTCCCCGCCTGGTGATCGGCCCCCGGTGCAACCTCCCTCCAACCTTGCCATGTGCAGTCCACTGCACCCTTGCCATAGTCCCAAGTGCAGGCTACACTAACGCAATGCAGGAAAGATCTGCGTCCACGGAGCAACTCCCCACGCCCGACTCGCAGGCTCTCCACCTGAGCTCCCAGCCCGTCCGCCTGCCGGCGCCTCCTCGCAGATGAAATTAGCCCTTTGGGGCTACAAGATGGGCACCCTGGGGACCCTCAGGCCACCTGGGGGGAGGACACAGAGCGCCACAGGTGCGGGCTTTTGCACTACTCAGGGAGTCCCACAGGTCAGCAAACCCTATTCAATGCCAGTGTGGACCCCGCGGAGGTCGGAACTCTGTGTTGGGGTTCCTGTTTCTGCACGGAGGGATCGGAGCGATGCTCACAGTGCACCCGGACCCAGGCCGCGGACTCCAGTCGCTATGGTAACGTGGCCCGCGCTAGAGGTGCGACCGGAGGGCGGGCGAGCGGGCGAGCTAGTGCTGGCGCTCGGAATCCCGGCGGCCCCAGAGCGGGCTGGCGCGGTGCCTGGTCGCGCGCCGGGAGGCGACGAGGATTTCGCTGGGCCCTGCCGATGGAGCACGGGGTGAGTGGCATGGCCATCGCTTCAGGTTCCGGCTCCCGTGGGGCTTTGACCCAGGCTCCCCAGACGCCTCCCTCAGGAAGTAGTAGCCTCGGGCGACCATCGCGAGGCCGGCAGCGGCACTGGGTGCAGGGTGCCCCGAATCAGCACGTTAGCCGCAGTGTTCCCCCTGCTCTGCAGCCTGGATCAGCGCCGCGCTGCCCCGCTGACTTCATAAGTCCGTTATTTTGTAGACTGCATCTCATCCTCGGCTGGCCCGATATTTAACATAAGATTGAGTTACTAACATTTAGCATTCTGCCCTCGTGCCTCCCAGGAGACAGTGGTGTCTATCAAATGGCTATCATAAAGTTACTGTTTTCTTCTGGGCACGCCTTTAATCCCAGCATTTGGGAGGCAGAGGCAGGCAGATCTCTGAGTTCGAGGCCAGTCTGGTCTGCATAGTTCCAGGACACCCATGGCTAAGTAGAGACCCTGTCTCAAAAAAAGTAACTAAATAAGCAAAGTTAGGTTACTATTTTCCCGTTATAAATAATAAATACCTTTCGGGGGAGGTGCTTGCTTGTGTAAAGTCCTGCTTCTAGCCGTGTTTTCAGTGACTAATTTTAGCATACATCAGTGAAAACTTCCTGATTTTTTTCATTTAATTTCACGTTTTATTCTTTCATTGCTTTGTTTGGTTTTGGTTTTTCGAGACATGGTTTCTCTATGTAGCCTTGGCTGTTATGAAAATCACTCTGTAGATCAGGCTGGCCTCTAACTCGAAGATCTGCTTGCTTCTGGTTTCTGGGTCCTGGGTTTAAAGGCATACACCACCACCACCCAGCCATGTTTTATTCTTGCTATGTTGGGTAGAGAAAAGGAATCACAAGTTAGCCGAATAAACCATTCAGACCTTTCAGGATAAACTGGGATCTAGTTTCCAAAGGTCTTTATTTAGAACCAGGATCAGAGTAGGTTTCAACCACTGCTCTGGCATCTGCGGCCCTGGGAGAGCCACAGAAAACAGGCACAGAATGTATTCTCCAGGGCTCCTGTCTGGGTACAGGGCCAGTCCTCCATGAAGATAGCAGGTGAAGGAGACTCAGCAGCTCCAAGGGATTCAGGATGACACAGGCCTGGGGCTTGTCATGAAGAATGAGATTATTGATGTCCCCACAGATCAGACCTCACAGGTCACTGTCCTTCCACCTATATCCTGGAATTATTTATGAAACTCTTCCATGAGCACCAGGCAGGAATTTACTCCTTAGCTTCAGAAATAGACCAATATAAGCCCATTGTCTTAGTCACTGTTTTATTGTTGTGAAGAGACACCTGACCAAGGCAAGTCTTATAAAGAAAACATATGAGGGAAAAGGGGCCAGCTGATGAAACACAGCCTGAGCAGAGCCAAAAAGAAACACACTTTGGCCTGGCAACTAGAACCAAAGAAACACACCCTGACCCTGAAACCAGTGCCAAAGAAACGTGCTTTGTCCCTATAATCAGAGCCAGTGAAAGAAATACATCCTGGCCCTAAAATTAGAGCCAAAAGGCTAAAAAGGACCAGTGAAAGAAACACACTTGGGCCCTGAAACCAAAACCAGATCTGTCCTGCCCCTGAGCAGAAAACCAACCAATCCCTGAGCACTTAGCATGACCCAAAGCCCCTGGCAGATACTAACTACCTGGTCCATTACAGAGCAGCTGTCAGGCCCTGTTCTAGGTGATTTAGAATTTACAGGAAGACCTGCCACAAAGCTGTGCCCACTGTCCAATGGAAAAATCCATTATTTCCTGTGAAATGCACTCTTGTTTCTTTAGTTCTGATGATTTGGACTGTAATTTAAATTTTCATTTATTTTATGTCTGTGTGTATGCTTGTGGAACCATATATACGAAGGAGCTTGTGGACTCTAGAGGAAGGCATCAGAGCCCCTGGAATTGGAGTTACAAATGCTTGTGAGTGGTCATGTGGGTTCTGGAAAAGGAACCAGGCCCTCTTCAAGAGCAGCCAGTGCCCTTAACCACTGAGCCATCTCTCCAGCCCGACTGTAACTAATTTTTGTTATCAGTAATTTCATGAATGAACTTTTCTCTAAGTAGTATCCTTGCTTATATAAAGAGCACCTAGGAGCTGGAGAGATGGCTCAGAGGTTAAGAGCACTGGCTGCTCTTCCAGTGGTCCTGAGTTCACAATTCCCAGCAACCACATGGTGGCTCACAACTATCTATAAGATCTGGTGCCCTCTAGAACACTGTATACATAATAAATAAATAAAATATTTAAAAAAGAGCAGCTACTGGCTTAGGAACTCTGAAGTTGGTGTAAACACATAACACAATATACCCTAACTCACCTGAACTCACTCACCTATATTACATCACACACAGCACACACACCTTGCTATAACATACTCACATACCTTCACAGCACCACACATGCATACACATAGCCTACAGACAACACGTATAATGCCACGTTCTTCACACACGCACCGTGCCCTCTCCTACATGCATACGTACATCACAACACAAAAGCAAACCCCTGTGGTCCCCCTGCCCCTATTATGAGTTTTATGTCTGTGGTTGGTTGATTATTGTTGATTTGAGTATAGGTGAGGCAACCCCCATCATCTTCACTTTGGCTCTCTTTCAATGTGTTTGCTGTCACTATTCATCTCTGTAAATATACTTCTAAAGAAGACCGACTCTCAGAGAGTCAGACTGCTACCTTCTTTGGGGTGACAGTGATACACAAACGTAACTGCCGGATGCCTCCATGTGCCCTGGGAAGGCACTCCTGGGGGAGGGTGACATTCAGACGCCATTGCCTCCAAAAGGTGACTCCAACTTTTGTGCCTCCGCTGGCACACACTTGGCTCATTCTTGGCCTTATGTACTTCCCTGGGAGTAGCCTCAGATTGACTATATAAGTGAAATCAGAAGCCCCAAGATAAATGGCTTTGTGAACAGAGAAGAACCTCTCCTCTGGCTCATGCAGTGTGCTTGTGGCCACTGCGGTCTCTGCCCTGTGGGGCAAGTCCCCAACCCCCCCCCAAGAGGCTTTTAAAGACTTACTACCTAGTTGAAAAAGTAGTTTTATAATGTTGGCTCTAATGTTTTTAAAAATGAAGACTTTATCCAGGCACAGTGGCATATACCTAATCAGGAGGCTAAAGCAGAGTATTGAGAGTTCAAGGCCAGCCTGGGCAACTTAGCAAGATTCCATCTCAAAAACTATTGGATTAGTATATTGTATTTTGTTTTCTAATTTTTATTTTTTATAACCTTTATTTCTTATTTCTGTTATTTGCAAAAATATCAGTCCATGATAGCTTGGAAGTAAAAGAACAAAGGAACTTATCATGAGGTAAATCTTCCAGGAGGCTGAGTCCTGGCTACAGGGGTGGACTGGTGGAAAGAATCAGGTGCCGGCTTCAGCCCTGGCTTAGCTACTTGGCTGCCTCAAATTTCTAACTTGCAAATGGAGTAAGAGATACACGAAGCTGTCTGACAGAACGTAGCTCTTGGAGATGTTCAAGTCACGGTTCCCATCTTCCCTTCCTCTGCTTTCCCTGGATTTACAGCCCCTGGTTTTCCTGCTGTAGAATGAAGTTCAAGAAGCAGCCGCCCATGATGAGGGGCAGGTGAACCCTGGAGGCCTTGGGCTTGGGGCTGCCCCTTGGCTCTGAGCCTCCCTGACATCAGAACCAGGGAGTGACCATGGTCACCATGGCTAGAGAACCTGAGGTGGGCACCAGGGAAGGAAGTTTAGAGTCCCTAATGGTTTGCTACTTGTTGCCTTCTCTTTGTCACAGCTGCCACCATGCTGCCACTGTGCTCAGAGAAGGAACTGGGTGAGCTGCTGGCTCGAAAGGAGGAGGAGTGGCGGGCACTGCAGGCTCACCGTGCCCAGCTGCAAGAGACAACTCTACAGACTACTCGGAAACACCTGGAGGAGACACAGGGGAAGCTGCAGCGCTTGCAAGAGGACTTTGTTTACAACCTTCAGGTGTTGGAGGAGCGGGACCGTGAGCTGGAGCGCTATGATGTTGAATTCACCCAGGCCCGCAGGCGGGAGGAGGCTCATCAAGCAGAGGCCAGCGAGCTCAAGATAGAGGTGGCCAAGCTGAAGCAGGCACTCACCAGAGAGACCAGGCACGTGGAGGAGTTGCAGCATCGTCACCAGCTAATGTTACAAGAGCATCACTTGGAGCTGGAGCGTATCCACAGGTGAGCATTGTTGCAGGTGAGCATCACAGACATCAAGATCCTGGATCCTTCTTCCAACAGGCTAGGAGTCACCCACTCTCACTGTACCCTCACCCTGGGCCTATTCAGTAAAATGAAATGTCCCTGTGGTCCATGAAGTAGTTTCCCAGGATTGTGTGTGGAACAAATGAGACACTTGGAATATAATTTTTGAGCTACTATTTTAAAAAGTTTACCCCTACAGATTATTTTTTTCTGGTGCCCAATGGGTGATGCATGTTTCACTGTGCTCTTAGTGATATTATGATCTTTTCTTTAGATCTCAGCCCAAGATTTCTTTGTTTTTTAGACAAGACCTCACTGTATAGTCCTAGCTGCCCTGGTACTCACTCTGTAGACCAGGCTGGCCACAAATTCACAGAGATCCACCTATCTCTGCCTCCAAAGTGCGGGGACTGAAGGTGTAAGCCACCACCGCCCCCGCATGTCAGATGTTATCTGCTAACATTCTTAACTTTAGAGTTGGATGGGAGCTACTGGTCTGCTGAGTTTTAGCAATACATTCCACAAGTTTCACCTAGCGTTCCCAGAAGTGTTGTGTCAGACATGGAGGTCTGTAGTAAATGTCCTGCAGCACCTTCAATCCACAACCAGGAAGTGCTACTCAGCCACTGAATCTGGAGGGCATCACAGAGGTCTGTTCACAGCTCAAAGCTGCTTTCTGTCTTCTTGTGACTCTTTCAACTTTTCCCTTTTTCTCCAAACCTGAGACCTTTCCGTCGTGTGCAGATCCTTTGTCAGTCCGTGCTCTTTCCTCCTACCCTGAAACCCCCAAGGGCATAATAAGTATCCGTTGTTACTGCTCCACCCATTTGTTCGTTTTATTTTTAGTTTATTTTCTCTCTGTTCAATCATATACTGTCTAATGTCTGTATCAAGTTCACAAGCTCCCTCCTTTGTCAAATTATTGTGACATCATGCCCAGATTGTGAGCCTTTTGTTTAGGTTATTGTACTTCTTAAATCTTTTTGTTGTTGTTGTTTTGAGGTAGGGCCTCACTATGTAGACCAGGCTGACCTTGAACTCACAAAGATCTGCCTGCCTCTGCCTCCCTAGTGCTGGGATCTTGATTAGAGGCGTTGGGGGTCGTGACCTGAGTAGTTATTATACTTTTTAGTTATCACATTTCTGTTGTTTGTTGTATCTCTTTCTTTGCTGAGATTTTTCTGTTTTTATTTGTTTTTCTAAATATTGGCATCATCTGATAGAACTCTCTCCCCTTTCCCCCGGGGTCACACTATGTAGGCCTGGCTGTCCTGGAATTCACTATGTAGACCAGGTTGGCCTTGAACTCACAGAGATCTGCCTGATGCTTCCTCCTGAGTGCTGGGACTAAAGGTGTGCATCGCCATGCCTGGCCCTTTTCCTGGTCCTTGTTAGTCCATCAGTTTGGGGTTCTGTGTTGTGTTCTCTCCTGCACAGTTGGTCACTCCGTTTAGAGGTGACAGGCAGATTCAGGGCAAGCAGAAGTTCTCCTTCTTGGAGGTCCCCTGCAAAAGCCATGTGCCAACTGCATGTGAAGAGCACCCTGCAGGGCTGTGCATTCGGTGTGTGCCTAGGTATGCATTCGAGCGTTCAGTGTGTGCCTAGGTATGCATGCGAGCGTTCGGGGTGTGCATAGGTATGCATGCGAGCGTTCGGTGGGTGCCTAGGTATGCATGCGAGCGTTCGGGGTGTGCATAGGTATGCATGCGAGCGTTCGGTGGGTGCCTAGGTATGCATGCGAGCGTTCGGGGTGTGCATAGGTATGCATGCGAGCGTTCGGTGGGTGCCTAGGTATGCATGCGAGCGTTCGGGGTGTGCATAGGTATGCATGCGAGCGTTCGGTGGGTGCCTAGGTATGCATGCGAGCGTTCGGGGTGTGCATAGGTATGCATGCGAGCGTTCGGTGGGTGCCTAGGTATGCATGCGAGCGTTCGGGGTGTGCATAGGTATGCATGCGAGCGTTCGGTGGGTGCCTAGGTATGCATGCGAGCGTTCGGGGTGTGCATAGGTATGCATGCGAGCGTTCGGTGGGTGCCTAGGTATGCATGCGAGCGTTCGGGGTGTGCATAGGTATGCATGCGAGCGTTCGGTGGGTGCCTAGGTATGCATGCGAGCGTTCGGGGTGTGCATAGGTATGCATGCGAGCGTTCGGTGGGTGCCTAGGTATGCATGCGAGCGTTCGGGGTGTGCATAGGTATGCATGCGAGCGTTCGGTGGGTGCCTAGGTATGCATGCGAGCGTTCGGGGTGTGCATAGGTATGCATGCGAGCGTTCGGTGGGTGCCTAGGTATGCATGCGAGCGTTCGGGGTGTGCATAGGTATGCATGCGAGCGTTCGGTGGGTGCCTAGGTATGCATGCGAGCGTTCGGGGTGTGCATAGGTATGCATGCGAGCGTTCGGTGGGTGCCTAGGTATGCATGCGAGCGTTCGGGGTGTGCATAGGAATGCATGCGAGCGTTCGGTGTGTGCATAGGTATGCATGCGAGCGTTCGGCGGCTCTCTGAACACCCTGTCTCTCTGCACAGTGACAAGAAGAGTGAAGTGGACCACCATCAGGGACAGTATGAGAGTCTCAAGTGGACGCTGGAGAGAAAGCTGAGGGAACTCGATGGTGAACTTGCTCTTCAGAGACAGGTAGAGCGTCACTGCGGTCGGGTCTTCCTTAGGGCATTCCTTGCCAGCTCGTTTGAAATCTGGGTGGTGAGGGCTTCGCTGAGGAGAGAGGTGGGATCCCTGGACTTTGATTTCCACTCTGGGGTCTGTTGGGTACTGTGAGACTCGCGCGTGCGTGTGTGCGCGTGCGTGTGCGCGTGCGTGCGTGTGCGTGTGTGTGTGCGTGTGCGCGCGTGTGTGTGTGTGTGCGCGTGTGCGTGTGTGTGCGCGTGTGTGTGTGTGTGCGAGCGTGTGTGTGTGCGCGTGTGCGCGCGCGTGTGTGTGTGTGTGCG